TTGGGGAAAAAAAGTAAAATTACTGAAAGACCACTTAAAAACATATATGTAGACCTATTAACTAAGTAAACATTTGCAAAAATTTTAAAAATCTATATATAAAACAGAGTTTTCCGTATGTCATAAATTTAATTTTTAAATGAACAAATATCAACAGGTATACGGATGGCATAATTTCAGGAAAACATTAGTAAACAAATACTGTAAAGATTCAAAGGCCTGGGCTGACTGGAGGCTGAGTTCTGACTGAGCTATTTTGTTGACCTGGACTAGAAGCCACATGTATGACTTTATTTGCCCAATTTTAAAAACTGCATGCTTAAACATTATAGACTTAAGTTCAAAATATATTGTTTGTCATCCCTGATTTTCTTTCCCAAGTTGGAGCCAATATAATTGAGTAAATGAGATCACTTTAAAGTGTTTGAAATAGGCACGAAAAAGCTTAGGATCTGAAGATTTTAGGGATTGAAACAAGTTTGTCAATTGCAGACACTTGCCCTGGCCTTATGAAACTAATATTTAAAGTCTATGAAGCGCGCGGGGGATGGGGAGCATTTACTTAGACTGTCAATTCACACCTAGCTTTCAATTTGCAATTTGCATGCTCAATCACCTGATTTGTACATAAATATAGGAGAACAATGGCTGCCTCTATGTCCATGGTTGTACCAACTGCAGTTATCTTTGAAATTTAAGCCTATTTATTCTCAGTGAATCTAGTGGCTTTGCTTCAAAAGGGGGATTTATTGTTCACATGCTTAGATACTGTTTTAAAAGCAGCAGAAAATGGGATTTAAATAATCAGTTCTTCTATGAATCACACTTTTGTTTTTAAACTGATCATGTTAATGCATATTACAGATAATTGCCTCTCATTTTTCATAAGCATATTAACCAATTTGATTATCTTAATCATTTATCTGATTTGCAACATGATCACTATGGTTATGTGCTAGATATATCAAAGTAAACTGAACCCATTATTAGGAAAGTTTTTCTGTGGTTTTAATTAAGATGAAAAATTTAAAGTAATTGAAACTGCTAAAAATTCTTTCCAGGAAAAACCTGCTTTTGCTATTCTTAGTAACTATTTTAGGCAAATGAAGTTTCTAATTACTATTTTTAGGCAAATGAAATTTCCTCCTAGTAGTTGGAGGTATGCAAATATTAGCACAGGAAATGTGGAGATTTACATGCTGATCTATACTGAAGTGCAGAGGCTCTGTGCAAAGCTGGAAGATTTTCAAGGTGATAGATTGATCTAATGGCTGCACCAAGACACTCACACATAACTATTGTGGAGACGGAGCAGGGGTGGAGGGAGTTTCATTCTGCCATACAGACAGGGTCATGATGAGTCAGAGCTGACTGACATGCACTTAACATCAAAAACATTATACATACCCATGGAGTCCCAGAGGAGTCAGAGTGCTTAACATTTGACTATTACCCCAAATACTCTAAGTTCAAGCTCACTCAATAGGGCACGCCTGATGATCTGCCTCCCAAAGTCACCAACTTGAAATCCCTGGGAAGCTGTTCTACTCTCCACACCTGCAGTCCTCATGAATGGGAGCAGACTCAAGGACAACCAAGAACAAACCCAAATCCATTGCCTGGAGTCGATTCAAGCTCCTACAAATAGAATAGAACAGCCCCCATTGGGTCTGCAGAGCTGGAAATCTTTACAGAAGTTGACTGACACAACTTTCTCCCACTGTGTGGCCTGGGGGTGCAAATGACTAACGTTCGGTTAAAAGTTGAGTGCTTTGACCACTGCACAACTAGAGCTCACTTGTATTCACATACACATACATAAATATATAAAAATATGTACGCATCTGTGTACATACTTATGTATGTGCGCATCTCAGATCAGGAATTTAATACAGAAAAGACTGTATTTATCAACCTGCCCACACTTCCATCAGTTGGTGTTAAAGGGGTACTTTCACCATGGACCATTGGAAACCAAAGCAGTTTAGAGGTACTACACGCAGACATAGCACCTCGCCCACGGAGTCCGACTAAGGGCATTCATGATGCCTGTAACTTCTGACTATGTACTATTCTGACATGCTGTGCCCAAATTCCCATAAACATCCTCTTAGTCTCACACTACTAGCACTTTGCTACCGATGGCCCTTTCATCCAGGTGCTCAGGTATTCCATGAAATTCCTATTGAATTTGTTATTTCTCTTCCCTTAAAGTTTTCACAGCAATGTCTCATTCAAATGTTCACATTAATGGGAACCTACCTTTTCTCAGTCACCACCTCCACCACCACAGTTGCAACCTCCATCACCATACAAGGCAGGAGGGTGGGGTGGGGAAGGGGGTGTGCACTTGGGATGGGGGGCGGGGCCCAAGGGAGGAGGAAGGAAAGTTTTCTCCTTAGTTACTTCTCAGTGCTATTTCCAGAACACTGACTGGCATATTTCGTCCAAACCACCTCTGGAAGGTCACTACCATCCACTTACAGCTTTTATCCGTATCTAGGGTACTCCTCCACCTGGGCTAGAGGCACTTCCTGGGGCTACTCTCTCAGCACCCAGCACCTGTCTTACCTGCATCTTCAGTCATCCCCCCACTTGTGAGTTATGAGGTTTGTGAGAAGCTGGAATACGCTTTATTCATTACCTTTGTCTTGTAAATGCATTGAACAGATTTGCAAATATTTGCAAAACTAAACCATTACTTCCCCAAGTACCTATTAGTCATATATTTTATAGATATGGGAAAAATTACATACTGACTTTTTAAGAATAGTCTCTCGTGTGCCTCATCTTTTACATTAGATGGCAACCTCCTTACAAATAAAGAAAACTCACTGCAAGGCAACAAAGGCTCTTAATATATATTTTTGGAATAAATCAATGATAAAAAGGATTAGTCATCACTGTTTTACCAGATTGTATTTACAATGACATCTGAAATATGGAAAATTACTTCAGAAAGGTCATGGAAAATGTAAAGTAGATTATAAAAATTTTCATGTAAGAAATTAAAGAAACCTCCATAATTAAGAAGGACACTAAAACATAAATTGCTCTTTAGAAACCAAAATGTTGAGGAGCACCAAAATACGATGCTTACAGATGGCATCTGACCCAATGAGGGTTTAATGGTAATACATGAAATATAAAAAGTTAGGTAAGTTAAAGCTTGCCAAGTCACGGTTCTTTCACTACAGACAGATTCTAGTGTTCCTTACATCGAGTCACATCTGATTTAATCGTAAATATGGTCTGATGTTACTCTGATGTTATTCAGAATAAGGAGAAAGCAATGACCAGGCTGGGAAGTATGGAAGCCTGTTAGCTTGGGTGTTTTCATACGCAGAATCAGCACTCGGTGGATTACTTTCAAACAGTCTGTAAACGATTAAACAAACATGATTTAATAAAAAAGTTCTGACAAGTCCATTGCTCATTATATCAAAAAAAAGCTTATTATCAACATATTTAACTACTGAGCTGAAGTGAACATTACCAGAACTGAACAAGGTGGATTCTTAAAAATCAACCTTGAGATTGAAAACAAAAATATATTTGAATAATGATAACTGCAAAATAATTAGCCTAAGAAAATTCATTTAAAAAATCAAGGATTAGGCAAAGGTGAAATGATATTAGAAGATTCTTAAATATGGAAATGAGCTGAAAAAGTAAGTTATATCTTCTTGTTTGCCAATTGTCTGAGAATCAAATAGTATCTTCTTACCTTAATAACATTTCCTCTATTTTGTGACATCGTGTGTGATCGATTGCCCAATTTGCCCACTTGCCCTGATTTCCAGTGATATCCACTTGACCTTCAAGATATATAAATAGGAAGCAAAATGTAATTACTAAATATCCTTCTCCTTTTTATGAAAACAAATATATTTTCCCTGTTTCAGGAAATGGAAATACAGTTGTTAAAATGTAACAGACAACCACAAAATGAAAATAAAATATCAATAATGTCACAATACCCACACTAATTTTAAATTATAGCCCTCCCATGTTTGTGACTCTGTGGAGCAATGAACAAATGCTAAATGTCCAAACATGGATGAAAAATTCCATCTTTCAGGCATTTACAATAACTAAAGGTAGATTTTTACTATAATTTATAGGAAACACTAAAGGTCGCAATGGAATTTTATAAAGCTATGGGT